TTGATATTATATTCTTCGGATATACATATTTCTAATCAATTCTGTTAACTTTGGTTAAAAATAACTTAATAAACCAAGTAATGTGGTAAATTAAACATACGTGTCGAGATGTCAAAACTTTAATCCTTCACTTCCCTTTTTCTATTGGTTAAGCTATAGAAATAACTAGTAAGCCAAATTCAAACTCAAATTCTTTATTTCTCTCAGTGCATCATACATGATACAAACCCCAAGCACCCAGCCGTAATAATGGATAATGATAAAGTATCCATTAACTGCCGAAGCAATGTTGCATATCTTTTAATGGCTCACTCTCCAAAATTTACATTGTAAAAATATGAAAAATATACTATTAAATGTCCAAAATAAACGAATCTAAATTTCAAATTAAGCATTTTATCTTATAAACGTTGTCGTTTAATATGCTATTTTGTGTGAAAAACTATAATTTTATCTTTCCAAAATAATATGAATTTACTGTACCTACACTTACTCCATTTATAAATCGCAATAGTTTGTGATTGTCTTTAAACAAAATGATGTATGCATAGATTCTAGGGATCTTATCATTTCATAAATTTTATTAATAATCAATAAATACAAATTGTGGCAACATACAAACGTCATTCTTTAAAAATTCCGGTGCGATAAAATGAACTTTTCTAAGCATTTAAAAAATTGAACTTTTTATGATTTTCAATGGAAAGTGTGCAGGTACTTTTATTCTTTCTATATGTTATTTTTATTTTACCTACATGTATCTATGTATGTTCGAATTGAACTTTTTTAATTGCTTACTTACAAAAATGCACGAGTTATAAAAAAATAGAAAAGATCATTGACCTGCAAGAGTTTGGATGATGACCTAAAATAACTTATAGTGACAATCTTAATTGCAGTTATCTGTTCAAGGTCCGTGAATTCAACAAGGAAAGCCCGATATACTCTGTCTACAAGAAACACAATTTATGTAAGAAATTGAAAAGAAAAAAATGTTCTGAAAAGAATGAATTATGATTTAGGTATGGGAGTTCTAATGTGTGTAGCTATTTTATAAAGGAAAAAATTAAAGTATCAAAATTAATTAGTAAATTAAGACTGGTGATTGAAGACATTATATAATTATACAGATATCTGTTGATTCAATACATTTTATATTGATTAATATATAATACTATGCTTGAAACATTTATAGCAATAATTTTCTTTAAAAGACAGTTTTACTGTATGAAATTATTTTGATTATGACTGTATAATTGTTTGTGAAGACTTAATATATGTTCGAAATCCATACTTAATAAACTTTGAAATTGAAAATAAAAACAAAATTGCATTTGTACGGAAGCCCATTCAGGCCGTTTTGAGTTAGATAAGTGTCTTGTATCATGTTTTACAATTAACTGTAACTTGAATAAAGTTTTATGTTTGAGAACGGAGTTATCTTTCCTTCTTTTAGCCATTTCAAAACCGAAGTTATAATACATGTAACTTAGTTCTAATGTCTAAGTTCTAATAAATAAGTTCTAATTCTGAAGTTCTAATGTCTTAGTTTTAAAAGGAAACACAAGGCAGGAAATTACTTTTAACATTTGAAAGATCAAACTATAAATAGTCAAATCACGCAAAAACAATGTAAAAACATTAATAATGTAAGCTGTAAAATTTAAACAAAATTGCATCAATTTGGATAATGTTGTATGTGGTTCAACATACAATGCCAAGGGTTAAACAGCACATGGTACCAAGATCAAACAAATAGCAATACATCCTTTGCATGGACATGTACAATATGTGATGAATCAAATCTTTCGAATATTTCAAGCATCATTTCAATCTCATCACATAACAGCTTTTCACCTCTAGTAGATGAAAATACAGATAATCCTAGCTCTATGAATCTCAAAAATCCAAAACAAAAACAGATTGATTATGTATCCAAACTGAAAATTCTATGCATAAACTGCCAGTCAATAGTCAACAAAAAACACGAATTTCAAAATTTATTAATAGATCAAAACACAGATATTGTTACAGCCACAGAGTCATGGCTAAATAAAGAACACTATAACAGTGAAATTTTCCCACCTGAACTCGGCTACACAGTTTTTCGCCGTGACAGACTCAAAGGTAAGGGCGGTGGAGTGTTTATCCTTGTTAAAACAACCTCCTACCAAGTGAACAACCAAAACTGAACACCGATTGTGAAATAATATGGATAAAAATAGAAATCAAAGGTAGTAAGTCACTCTTTCTGGCATCATATTACAAACCACACGAACTTGATATGAATAGTATTTTAGAATTTGAAAAATACCTTGAACTTGTGCGTAACTTAAAAGGTACAAAGTTAATCCTTGAAAGTACACGAAATGACAATATTCTTGATCTATTGCTCATTTCAAACCACACTCTTGTTTACAACGTCAAGGTCATACCTGGCATATCAGATCATGACATCATATCCACAGAAATATCTTCCAGGCCTACCCTCCTCAAACAAAAGCCTCGTACTTGCACCTTGTATAAAAAGGCAAATTGGACTGAGTTGAAAACTTTCATTAAAACCCCAACATCTGAAATAATTCAAAAAGATTAATCCTTGTCTGTTGAATAACTTTGGTCGCAGTTCAAACACACATTTGAGGGTGGAATATCAAAATTCATACCCACTAAAAGAATTACAGCTAAACCATCTTTGCCCTGGATAACAAAATCCATTAAAAATTAATTCATAAAAGAGACCAGCTCTATAAAAATATTAAGAAACCAAAAACAAATAAAACTAAATCTGATCATGATCAATGGCTAAAATTTAAAAATTTGAAATCGCAAATAAAAGCTAGAATTAAACAATCATATGAGTCTTACTTAGAAAACATCCTGAACCTTGCAGATGATGATGATGAAATTAACACACAAAGTAAAGTCTGTACCAAAAAACTATACACACTTATAAAAATCTCTAAACAAGATTCACAAAGTGTGTCTCCATCAAAAGATCAAAAGTCTGGTTCTCTCAAAATTAATAACACTGAAAAAGCAAACATTCTTAACAAACAATTTCAATCAGTTTTCTCACCAATTACACCACTTACACTTAAAGATCAATGTATACAAAAACTGAGACTCATGGATCACAGAAAGTATTGTAAGTACCCACAAATGAATGACATCATCATCAGTAGGGCAGGTGTACTAAAGCTCCTCGCCAACCTCAATGCCAACAAAGCTGCCGGCCCTGACAACATTAGACCAATTGTCCTGAAGGAGCTGAGAGAAGAGATTGCTGACATCGTTGCAGTTCTTTTCCAAAAATCTTTGACCATCGGTAATATTCCCAATGACTGGAACCGTGCAAACGTATGCCCTGTCTACAAAAAAGGTGATACAAGTGATCCAGCAAACTATCGCCCAATTTCCTTTACATGCATCCTCTGTAAAACACTTGAACACATAGTTGCCTATCAACTATCCTCTCACTTTACCGCCCACAACATACTCTTTGATCTTCAGCATGGGTTCAGAGAAAGACGATCATGTGAGACACAACTCATTGAACTTACTGATTACCTTGTGAACAACCTTTCAAATGACATACAAACAGATCTCATACTTCTTGACTTCTCCAAAGCTTTCGATAAAGTAAACCATCTTAAACTCTTAGATACCCTTCAAGAACATGGTGTTTGTCCTCAAATTCTAAACTGGATACAGTCATTCCTTATTGGCCGTAGACAGACTGAAGTTGTGGATAGTGACTGCTCATCTGAAGTCCCAGTTACCTCTGGAGTGCCCCAAGGCTCTGTCCTAGGGCCCCTCTGTTTCCTTCTATATATCAACAAGTTACCATCTTCTGTCCTCAAATCCCAAGTCAGATTATTTGCAGACGACACTGCTGTATACCTAACCATCAATTCCTCCTCAGACCCCCCAACTCTCGTACATGATCTAGACAATATGGTTCTGTGGGAGAAGCAGTGGGACATGGAGTTTAACCCTTCAAAATGCCAAGTCATCCATATCACCAAAAATAAAACCATAATTAAACACAAATATATGCTCCATGGCCGAGTCTGTTACAAATGCTAAATATCTCGGACTAGATCCATCTGCTGACCTTAAATTTAATACACATATATCTAAAATAACTTCCAATGCAAACAGATCTCTTGGCTTTATTAAAAGAAATGTCATTACTAAAAATGAGAAAGTGAAAGAACTAGCATACAAGTCCCTGGTCCGCCCACAGGTTGAATATGCCTCAACAATTTGGTCTCCTTACACTAAAACCAATATTGACAAAGTTGAGATGATCCAGAGACGTGCAATAAGATGGGTTAAAAAGGATTACTCCCCTCACTCTAGTGTCACAGCAATGCAGGAAGAACTGGGCTGGCGATCCCTTGATCATCGCAGATTGGACTGTAGACTGATAATGTTTGATAAGATATACTATAACCTTGTTGCAATTAATCTCCCAACTTATGTTCAAACCCCACAAAGATTAACCAGACATATGCATCCCTTATCCCTACGCCAAATACAGGTATCCTTCGACTACCATAAGTACTCTTTCTTCCCTCATAGCATTATACTATGGAATAAACTTCCTATTAACATTGCCACCCTGCCGAACCTGAGTCAGTTCAAACAGTCAGTGGTGGGTTTGCAGTACTAGTCTTACTCCCAGCGTTTTTTAAACTATTTTATCTCTTATCATCTTGTTTCACTATTAACATTTTAATCATGACTAGAATACATTTTCAGTCTCACCTTCCAAGCATGTCAAAGTTTGGACTTTTCTTTTTTAGCTTTTCTTTTCACCTTTTACTTACAATCCGACGTGCACTAAATTCCTGCCTTTAACACTCGTAAGAGGGATTGGCAGTATCCAGAGATAGATAGATAGATAGATTTACGAAATACTAGGTCGCCGCCATTTTGGAATATTTATCGTTTAGAAAGCAGGTGCGCGTGACGTAATAATCCCACTTCCGGTTTCCCTTTCACGTACAAAAACTAGTAGCGGTAATTTTATATCGTACAAGAAAAAAATGGAGAGAAATAATGTTGGTCTTCTTCCGTACAATTTTGAGCCATAATATGATTCTTTAGAGCTTCTTGAAATCCAAAATCAAATTAATGAGCAATCATTGCAACGAAATGAAGTGTTAGAACTGGACGATTTTTGTTCTTGTGGAAACTGTTGTATGATGACAAATCCTTGGGAAAATGTATGTTGTAATGGCTCCGACCTAACGATCGGTAATCTGGATGATATGGAATGCATTACAGAGCACCCTGCATTTGAAAGAGTGGTTCTTGATCGTACTGTTCTAGAAGTGGCCTTCATCCAAATACTGATGTACAAACGCAGTAGAGCTAGGGCTCCTGATGAACTCAGTAACACGTAAGTTGGATAAGTAAGTTTGAAAATCACTGTCAGTCAAGGTGGATAATTTCAAATTCAGACATACTCTTTTTTCCAATATATTGAAAGTGGAAAATAGTAACAATCTAGATACAATGGGGAGTTGGAAGAGAAACAAACAAACAACAGAGATTGGTAAAATTATTTTTTAATGATGAAAACAAAGATAAATTCTAAGAACTTTAAGACATAGTAATAAATATTCAATAATAAAATTTAGGTTAATTTATCAGACTATCAACAAAATAAGTAAATATACAAACATATTTCTGGTTAAATGGCAGTAACTAATCACAACACAAAACACATAATACTAAATTTTTTAGGATACAAGTAAAATGTATTTCCAAATCTTGAATGGTTTGCATTTTATCATTTGAACTAGTATAATACAAAATATTTCCTTTTTTTCAGTCAATACAGACTTGCAGCATACAGGCAGTTTGTCAGTTTAATGATGAAAGGTGAAAAGCTCGGAAAAGGAAACAGAGTAGTTATCCCATCTTGTGTGACACAAAAAATAAGATCAGAATTTCCTTCAAGTGACAACACATACTGTGGATTTAAGTCTATTCTTGACAGCATGAATGAACTTTTTCAATAACTTCCATGTATTTGATTGAATTTGAATTAGATATAAAATGCAAACTATCAAAGAACATTTTACATTTCTGAAGTAATGATAAGTGTTTCTTTTTTCTTTTTTATTGTTTCATAATATTTATATAAATAAAAAAATGACTAACATGACTATTTTTAAATCAGTGTCAATTAGTTGGTTAAACATTTATTTTAGATCGATTGCGAAACAAGTTCTTGCAAATTATATTTATCACTTTCGAGTCCGCTTCCTGGAACCAACCAGTACTGGTGTCAAATGAAGAAACATGGTCCTGAACCGAGTAGGGCTCTAACCCATGATCTCTGGGTTGAGAGGCAGACACCTTAACCACTAGGCCACCGCTCGGGGGCGCTCCCCTTGAATTGTCAATTGCCTTAGTATTAAGAACTAAGTTCTAAAGTCTAAGTTCTAATATCTAAGTTCTAAGATAGAATTATGCCCCTTTGTTACCTTTGGGAATTGTAGCAAACGGATTTTTTTTGAATATTAAATAAGACAAATCCTTGTCATTTGATATACTTATATATCATGATAACCCAAATCAGTATCAACCGCTGATAATTTCATCAAATATTAATACAGAAGTGCACTTCGTTAAAATTAAGTCAAAAGTTATCTTGACCTAGTAGAAAGTAGACAATTTATAGAAGCTTTGACTACACCATACGTTCCCCATAAACAGTTATCTTGAAACAGTTCAATAGGGTTCTCAACAACACTCCTGGCATCATTTAGCACAAAGGATATTATTAGGACAGACAGGTTGAAGGGTCTGATATCACATAAATCTTATGTTAAAATGGCAATATATAACTAACAATATAATTAATTCATTTTATGCTTTTTCAGTGGATAACTGATTTATCCGTGAAAATTATATTTGATAATTTCACAGTCAAAATTATCCAAAATATAATTTCACACTTTTCAATAACGAAACTACTTTTAAGATTTTCCCAATGTGGTACCTCAATTTTATTTTTGCTAACACTTCTGACAATGTCAGGCTGTTTTAAGAAAATGCAAAGCTGAAATTGATAAATAACTTAAAAGTCAAAAATAAAAAAAGAAGAAAACTTACTTCTATTCATTCCAATCAATAAATTTCGTCTCTAATTTTTTTTTCATTTTTACAGTCTGAAAAATACATTCCTTCCACATGCAAAACTGCTCTTGATGACATTGGGCATATTAAAGTATCCCACGAGCCATAACTGCCGTATGCTTTATGAAAAATTGAAAAGCAATGACATCCATCAGCTCATAGAACAAGTAAATTACCCAGCGTTCCTGAGCCAGCTACCAAGTTTTCCATTTTCCTAGCTGCTTTTTTTAATGTTTTCACATCTGTCAACACTTGTGAGAATACTGTTTTTAAAGCCCACTTGATAAAATTAAATTTCATCTTACACACAAACAAACACATATCCTCTATAAAATAATTAATAAATATAAATAATTTTTATATATAATTATGAATGCCAACACAAAACCCAATAGCATGTTCATTGTAAGTCATTGTTTAAATGTTCCACAATCATCTGTAAAAAATCAAGGTTCGTTTAATGGCTATCAAAAACTTTCCGTTATTCGACGACAACACTCGAACAGGTTTTTCGGTTTCAATGATGCCCTTTAGGTGATCCACAAAGTTCTTGCATATCTGTATGTCTTTTTGATGAACACGATGACCACAGTTATGACCACCATATATTCAGGTACAAAATAAATTATATCAGTTCTGCTTGGATCAAATCCATAAACAATATCTTAAGCATTCCATATATACAGTAAAGACTGTTTACAGTGACCTTCGATGGGAGAAAAGAAAAAAGGTCATTATAGACAGGGAGTCACTGTGAACAGTCTCTACATAATTCGGATATATGAACATATCATACCAATATTTTGTTGAAAAACAGAATAGTACCATACTAAGGGTTTAATTATATTTTTATTGAAAATATCATTTATAAAACAATGTAAAAAACAAGAGAGTATTAAAATTGCATGTATAATTGGTTAAGATTATAAACTACACCATAACATTAGTATTTAAAAGTTTCATATTCATTAAAATGTAATTTATATTGATATTTTTTTTGTAAAAAAAATGTTTAATTTCAATTTTACTAATGAGATGTTACTGTAGAGACATTTAATTTTGTATAATCAGCCTGTTTACTTTACGGAGTTCAATGTATTAATAAAATATTAGATACAAATCTTCACATAATCCTACAGATAAGTGCTCCGAAAAAAATAATAATCGAGGTTTCAAACATAACCACACCTTTAAGACGTTTGGCATTGTTTATCTTTACTCGCCAAAACACCGCAGCAATTATGTATATGCAGGTGTCTTTAATCATTCTATCGGCGAAAATCGATTGAATCTGTCGCCATTTTGTGTAATTGTCAACAAACAGCCACAGTGTATTAGCGTGTCGCCTATTGGTCAATGCAAACTGCCGTATATACAACGCGCGTTCTGATTTGTCAATCGCATAAATACGTAATGAGAAAGATAAACATAGTGAACTCTTGCCTTGCGGCGTGTATTGAACTTTGTTGATGTTAATTAGCAGATTAACTGTAATTGATTGTAATTGAGAGGTAAACAGATTATTAACAGACCTAGCGGTGTAAATAAGTATGACGGAAATTTATAAAAATCGGGCGACTTCAAAATCTCTTTGAAGTTTGTATCCGAAGGCGACTTCTTCGCCAAAGTCGTCACCTAGTTCAAGCCTTGCTCCCCTTGCAAAAGTCGCTGTTCACGGCTCAAATACCGTAACGGGTGACTAAATCATGGTCGTTGTACAGACTAGACAGGGAGTTGCTACATACAGACCATTAATATAGTAAATACTGTTCAGCGCACCTAACTATGGTCACTAAAGACAGAACGTCGCTATATACAGGGGGTCGCTAAGACAGTCTTTACTGTACACGATTTGTTAAATCCAAGCATTGAAATCAATAAGATCATTGAAAAATGAAATCCGCCAGTGCAACCTTGTTTACAAGTAATCTCTACCAGGATTCTTAACACATATTTGCTACACTCTTTCCATACATAAAATTGTTCAACCCTGCTACGCTTTATGTGTCGTTTAAGCTGAAAAAATGTTGAAGCAATGCATATATCATGCTGAAATCATTGAAATGTTTTTGAAAAACAAAACTAGCGCTCATGACCTTTAGACTAACTCCCAGCTGTTATGTTAAGAAATAACTGCATTTAAACATGTATATAAGACATTCCAATGTCACGACAAAACCAACATAATGGGTTTGCGACTAGCATGGATCCAGACCAGCTTGCGCATCCGCACAGTCTGATCAGGGTTTATGCTGTTCGCTATCAGTTTCTCTACTTACTATAGGTTTTGTAAGCGAACAGCAATAATCCTGATCAGACTGCGCGGATGCGCAGGCAGGTCTGGATCAATGCTGGTCGCAAACCCATTATGTTGGTTGTGTCGTGACGCGGCTCATATCATTACATTTTGAGGAGTTTTCTCGAGCCAGGATAATATGGATGAACTAATCCGCCTCCCGAATATTTATAAAATGTGCTGAACAGTACGCGCGGATGCTTCCTATACGTTTCTTGCAGCTTACAGATACACTCGCTGTTGAGATTTATATTAGAGGAAAATAATCTGTTTCATGATGAAACGGACCATTTCATTGCTCAATTCGGTAACTTGGAAACGCCGCCACAAATACATTTCAAACACAATCATAACAACTTTAAAGTTTTCTTAAAATGTTAATCAAATCTACATGGCAAATCATTCTCTGAATTTTGATATTTTGTGTAGAGTTTACAAAAGATATGATGACAACCCTTTACCTTTGATGTCACCGAATTTTATCGACATGCACTAGCTCGGAAGTAGCGATAGAGTAATTTACCGTCTACCCCCGAAAGAGGTAGCTCAACCATTTACCAGGAATGTGTATATTAAGTGTCTGTATACACTCAAAATGAAGAGCACTACAGTGTTCAAACATAAACTACGCTTCCACAATATCGGCAAACCCTAAGTGTAGTAGGATCCAGCCCGCAATGGGTCATTTTTTATCTAAATTTCTAACCTTTGTAAAGTATTAAACCATCCTATAAATTGTTTTATGAATTTTTGGTTATTTTTGTTGTTTTATATTATATATTTTACGTTCCTTTTATTATATTATCTTTAATTTACGTACCATCATTTAATCAAAAATATTTAAAATTCAACCAAATTAATATGATCATATCAATTCAATTTAATTCAGTCTAATTTAGTAATCTTTCACTTTTTTTCGCTGGCAGAATCTGTTCTGCTGTCAGAATTCAAGCTACTATCATCAACCAAATTATAATAATAGAATCTATGATACCGTTCATGAAGTGATCGGTGTTTTTGTGCTGCTCCACATCCGCGTCTACATGTTTGCAAGCATTCCGCCATCTGTCCACACCAATCCCTTAAAAATTTTCTTAACATCACCATGTCTAAGTATAAATCATATGACTCTGAGAATCATGTATTGTTTTATACGCAAGTTTCTGAAATAACATTCACTTTTACAATGGAATAGAGAGATGGAAAAGAGAGATGCAGAATCCCTAAAGAAAGCTCAAAACAACAAAAATGAAAATGTTGCAGGCTCGGTTTGTTGAGATTCTTCATAGACGGTACTGTAAAGTGCAAGTTACCGTCCACGCCCCTAGCCGACCGGCTTTAACAGAATTCAACATTTAAACACGAAAATGGTGAAATTTTGAACAAAAATTTATAAACATCCGCAGATTATTTGTTTGCTTGTTTGTTTGGATTTTTACGGCACGTCAACACATAACTGGCCATATCGTACGGAAGCCCATTGGGCCGTTTTGAGATAGAAGATAGAAGTTAGATGCTAGATCTTAGAACATAGATCTTAGAACTTAGGTCTTAGCTCTTAGAACTTACAGGTTCTATATTGGCGGGAACACGCCATATTTACTGCAAGATAGATAAAGTGAGATAAACTTTTTATTATATTTCTTTAATTTTATTTTTTAATTTAAGGAATTGCAGATATATAGTTAGAACGTTGTAAAAGATTAAGTGATTATATATTATAAATA